TAGTCAGGTTTCATTAAAGTACCGCTATTGATGATGTTGGATTCTTACTTGCACCAAATTAACTTTGGTTGCAAAATCCTTATCTTTGAAGGCCTTAATCACTTTTCGAGTTGTGTCTTCAATGATGATGTGCATAATCAAGTTTGCAAGTGACAATTACTTTTGCTTGTGCTTTGCTTGTAGTCATTCTAGGATTCTAGCAGCTTCTCAATCAGTATCTCAGTAACGAACTCTTCTTATAAGTTGATATTTTCTACTTTCAAGTCATCCATCAGATTTTGACATTCATTAATTTGACTTTTGATGTCCTTATCATTAGTCATCCCCAACAATAAAAGTTTCCAATCACGAACTTTTGTTTTCCAACATCTTCAACAATATATTTGGCAACCATCGAATCCCATATTTGCTTTACTTCTTTGTAAGGACTGTAAACATCAAATATCTCCTTAGAAAGTGCGCTAATAATTGTATGCCAGCATTCCTTATTTGCACGCATCCACTATTCCATCTTGTTGAAATCGTATGGCTTAGAATCGATTAATGCAAAAGCCATTCCATGAACGTCAAGGATGGAAAAGATCTTTTCTTACTACTTTTTGAAATTATTTCCATTAAACACTTTAATTTTGGATATGTCAAGAAATGATTTTGCATATGACACTAAAGGCATCGCAAGAATGGACAAGGCAATGAGAATGACAGTAGCAATTGTTAAGGTAACACCAATGGCAGTGGTGGTGGAAGCAATGACAATTACATTATCGTTATGAAGATTCATTATTCATAAGATTGTTGGCTAAAGATCGAAGTATAAGATAACTCAAACTAGTCTAAGGTGTGATACATTGTTCTTAAGGATAATTTCCGCTCCTTCAGAACATGAAACTTGATGTAAAGACTTTTTATAATTAGTTTGCACAAACTATCAAGGATACAAGAATAGTCGAAAATAAAAAAGAAAGTACCCAGTAAGGCTAAGCAAAGGAGAGGAAGTAATGAGAACTAAGGTGTTTTGAGAATGAACGTGAAGGCTAGTATTTATAGGGAGGAATGTTGGGAGAAAATTAAAAAATTTAACGTTATAAAGAATATTCTATAGGATATTTTAACATTATTGAAAAGTCAAAGACCAAATCTTTATAACATGGCATACCAAATCAAAGTTAAAGACTAAATCAAATTTTAATAAAAAGGCTTGGTCAAGCAAATAAAGAAAACATAGCCAAGGTATAAAAATATCACTTCAACCTAACCCATGTGTATTCGCATGTCGAGAGAAATTCTCATTTTCTCAAAGTTTAGCCCGATCTTATGTGCACGTGAACCCACTTTCGTTTCTTGTTTGCAACAAGCCCATAATGAGTTTGATTATATAAAGTACTAACATTTTTTGTACCTAGGCGATGTGAGATAGAAACCTTATGAGATATCACTATATATGCAACAAATTCTTGGTAGGTTAAAGATTGATTTTTCAATTTGTCTTATAGTAAAAGATACATGTGTTCAATAAACTTTGAAAAAGAAATTCTTGTCCAACAAAGGGTTGAACCAACTCTATCTATTATGATTGATTTTGATAGACGAGACCAATGTGGAAACTGATGCTAAATTTCTTCTTGCACGTATTTTCTTTCAATGGAATAGTAGTCTCTCATTGCTTTTAGTTTTTGACTTTTGAATGGTCTCTAATGTTTAGAGCACTTGTCCATGCCATACCAACTTCATTCATCAGCATCAATTTGTTTTGTTTGTCTTAATTTCTTATTTTAATCCATCAATTACATTAAGTTATAGTGAAGAAAAAGGAAATTTTCTTTTTCACCAAAAAGAGTAATGGAGAGCTAAACTTATTTAACAATTAAGTGAGGCTGAGAATCAGTCAGTTTTGATTTTAAAGGAGACCAAAACTGACCAAATCTATTTTCCTTAATAACCAATTGAGGAAGATTGAAAATCGATCAAACCAAAGCCAATCAAGGTTCGGTTAGTTTCAAGCGGTTTTGAGTTTAAATTGCTCGGGTTTAAAAAAGCCCAAGCTGAAAAAAACCACTTGACCCATACTTTAATTTATATAAGGGTTTTGGCTTAATTGGACCAATTATCACAACATTAATACCTACCCATTACATATTTGACCATTAATGGTCCATCATCACAACAACTATTAATATCCATCACAACCAACTGGCATTAATGCTCACTCACAAAGTCATCATAAAGTCACAACTCACTCACAAAGTCATAAAGAGCAATAGCATTAACACTCACAAAGGCAGTTTAATAACCCCAAAGGCCTAAAACAAAATATTCAAGCAAGGTCTTTTTTATTGAAATTAAGAAAAAAATTATTAAAATTTTATTCTTCTAATATTTTTTTAATTTTTTAATTCATTATTTTTATTACTTGTAAAAAATTTATCAAGTGCTCTTTTTGAGATTGTATTAAACTTTCAATTTTACTTTTTGAAGCTTTGAATAACTAGATTCATATTTTCAATTTGACATATTCAAATATTTATTATGAAGTACAAAAAATATTTAGTTATTATAAGTATCTTATATTTTTTAAATGATTGATATAAAATCAATAATCAAAATTTCTAATTCAAATGAATAAACTATAACATAAAATATAGACAATATAACAATATAATATAAATTCTAAATAAAAGTAAAAACGTATGTAAAGATTAAAATAATAATATTTAATTATTGAATGTTTATTACAAACTGCAAATAAGGGTCACGACTTTATGAAAATTATATCATTACAAACTTTCTATGTATTTTTTGAAGAAAAATTGAAGTTAAAGGGAGAACAAGCAAATGAGGAAAAAAGAATTCAAAAGTGAATATTATAAATTAAAAATAATAATTAATTTTATATATAAAAAAATAGTTATTAGAAATATTAAATACATATTACGTTAGTTAATTGAAATAGGGAAAATAGGTAAGAAAAAAATAACTGTAGAAGATTATTAAATAGATATTATTATTAGTTGATTGAAAATAAGAAAAATAATTGAGAATTAATAAGATTGTAGAAATTGAGAAGTGATAAAAAATTGAAGATTTATTAGGTACATATTTAAGAAAATGAGAAAATATATCATTTTATTAATTATCTTTAACTTTTACATATTTTTAATAGAAAATAAAATAACTAATTGAGAATTAATAGCAATATGAAAGTGAAAGAAAATAAATATTTATTAAGTATGAAAAAATTTATAAATATTTTATTAATTATCTTGATTTTTATATTTTTTAATGTAATTAATTATATTATATTATAAAAATATAAAATCTATCTAAATTTGAAACTTAAAACCCTTACTTTGGTGGCCTTACCCAAGGGCTTTTAAGATATAGAAGTGATCTGAAAATTTTGTGGATTGAAGAATATACTGATCGGGGAAGGGATAAAAGAAAAAGCGGAAATTAATGAAGGTTATACGGGTAATTTCTCCTCCTATATTAAAACAAAAAAAATAGCCTCGATTTTGCAGTAAGTTGCGGGGAGAACTCTCGCTCAGCTACCAAACCGATTAGTCAAGAAAATTAGCTACTGTAACCGGTGCTATAACCGACACTGAATAACCAACCCATCTAGCGTCGAAACTGATGATTCCGGTCGGTTGTGGGTTGTGCGTTCACAATCATTCCCTGCAATTGAGTGTTGTTATTGAGAGTAGATTGGAGATTCCTATAAAGAGAATTTCTTATATTATTTCAAAGTTGTGAATCTTAAAATTTGGATAGGACATTAAGTTTCACAACCAGTAATGCATTGGCTTTCAGTTTTACCTTTCTCATTTATAGGTTGGAGAGCAAAAAAAAAAAAAATCTTAGTAGTATAGCCATCCCAAATCAAAATTAAGTTGTTTAATCAAAATAACAGAAGAGGGTGTTCGAAATAGATGCGAATCCAAAAGAAATTAAGACACCAAGTTCTTTTGTTTTTCCTTTTGCGAGGGAAAGTAACTTCATTCATTAAAGAAGAGGATCACAAAAAGCAGTTATAGTGAACAAAAGTAGATCGGGACATTCCCCTAGACAAAGATAAAAGTCTTCGTCGACATGCAAAGCATGTTTAGCTGGGCCAGGGTAGACTGGGTCATTTCATTTTCACCTTGCGTATTCAACGCGACAAAATTGAAAGGTTGTCATCTTCGTTTTCCTACCTCAATGTAAGAACCAATCGGAGAGAGGTCTTCGTCAACTAATAATTTTTTCCATGGCTTCCCAACACTTGACGGTGACTTTCGAAGCAACCAGTGTATGGCTCCAGGTTCACTCAGCCGGGGCAAATTTCTCTTGAAAGAAAAAAAGGAAAAAGGAAAGAAACCAATTTGATAGAGACAATGTCATTGTCTCAAAAGAGTTAATTACGTGTTTAGTGTTTGAATTATAATAAAATTAAAGATCTGGTACTGACAAAAAAAAATTAGTAATTAAGTACTTTGATTTCAAAAAGAAAAAAAATTTTAAAAAAAGATGAGGTTACATTCTTATCAGGTTTGTTTTCATTTGATTAATTATATGAGTCAAACTTATAAAGCATGTAATGAAAAAGTTTGGTGCATCACCCATATATTATTTCGATTTTATTTTTTAATTTGGTCATTACGATTGATTTTTTTAAAATTTTTAATTAATGAGATTTTTAATTATGAAATATTGATCCGGTCAAACTGATTACTTGCTCAACTCTACATACACGTAAAATTTGTTTAAATATATTAGATTATGTATATTAAATTTTATTTAATTAATAATTTTGTTAAATAAATAAATAATTTAAATAAATTCATTCTCATGACCATTATAGTTTCTCAGCCTTAATTTATTTTTTACAATTTTTTTAATGGGAGATACAAGAGATATGGTCCTTTCACTCCTTGAGGTCAACATGGAAGATAGTTGTTTCCTAGATATTTCCATTTACAATTATATCTAGTATAATAATAGGCCTTCTATCTTTGCCTTGACTATTTATGAGAACACTGATGCAAAGAAAATGGAGAGGAAGCTCCATGAAGCGGCTGTGGAAGGCAGTGTGAATTCCTTGCTTAGTTTGCTTCAAGAGGATGCACTGCTTCTTGACCGATTTATCACTGGTCGTTACCCTGAAACACCTTTGCACGTAGCTTCCATGCTTGGACACCTAGAATTCGTTGACGAAATTCTTAGTCGTAAGCCTGAGCTTGCCAAAGAAGTTGACTCCCGAAAGTCATCACCGCTTCACTTAGCAGCAGCAAAAGGGTACCTGGATATTGCAACAAGATTACTTCAGGTCAACCCTGATATGTGCCTTGTTTGTGACTTTGATGGGAGGAACCCTCTGCATATTGCAGCCATCAAGGGTCATATCAATGTGTTGGGAGAGTTGATTCGTGCCAGACCCTGGGCAGCTCGGTCGCTGATGGACGAAGGGGAGACCATTTTACATGCGTGCGTGAGGTACAATCAGTTGGAAGCAATGAAGTTATTGGTGGAAATTGCCGATCATGAGTTTGTGAATTGTAAGAATTATGATGGCAACACCATCTTGCATCTAGCAATAGCTGACAAGCAAACAGAGGTATGTTCTATAACAACTCCCTTTCTAATTAATTCCCTCTTTCAAACAAAGCAATCTATTGATTCTAGCTAGACTAGAGTTTGTAAAATTTATATTATTCACTATACTTGATTTTCGTAGTTAATGGCCTAATCTTAAATCTTAATTCACACTCCATAATAAGGAAACAAGTCAATGACCTAAACCCTAAATCCCAAGCCGTGAACACCCAGTTAACTCAAATCCAGGTGGATCTTTTTTTCTGTTTATGCTAGCTTAGTTTGGTAAGTGGAGTCTCTCTGGTCATTGGCTTTGGGCCTGTTTTTTTCTTTAAATTTCCAAAGCTATATCTTGTGGAATTGATGTACACACATAGCAATTTCTTCCTCATATTTATATACTGAATCGAAGGATCAAATATGTATACGTGCAGACCATACACTTTTTGATTTCTAGCACTACAATAGAAGTGAACTGTGAGAATGCAGATGGCTTCACTCCTCTTGATCTTTTATCTCAAAATGAAAGGAACCTGAAAGAGAAGGAGATTGTTGAGTCCCTTCGACGTATTGGAGCTGTGCGTGCAAAAGATAAGCCTTTGTCAGATCGTCAACTTAAAGCCATAAGGATCAAGATCTTATCCTCATCATCTCTATCTAATCAAACAACTGCATCGAACCCTAAGAAAAGTAAAGTTCGCGAGAGGTTTAATATTAACAGCTATGCTGATTGGCTGGAAAGAAAACGCAATACCTTAATGCTGGTGGCTTCCCTGTTAGCTACCATGGCTTTCCAAGTGGGCGTCAATCCTCCTAGTGGCGTTTGGCAAGACACCTCCCCAAGTGATTCTTCATCAATGGCGTCAAACAAATCAAATCACTTGGCAGGGTTTTCCATAATGGCAGATAATTTTCCAATTAAATATACCTATTTCCTCATTGCTAACACAACCGGTTTCATGGCATCTCTTAGCATCATCCTGTTACTTATAAGTGGATTACCATTGAGGCATAGGTTCTTCATGTGGATTTTAATGGTCGTTATGTGGGTTGCCATCACTGCAATGGCATTCACATATACGGTGTCTGTCTTAGCTGTCACACCCGATCACGCGGACTCTGCGCTAATCTACATACGATATGCCATGTCCGGTTTGACTAGCATGATGCTGCTGCTTCTTCTTGCACACACAATTCGACTGAAAATCAGATTGATAAATTGTATTCTAAAATTAGTACTCAGATTGATAAACCTCATCTCCAGACTGTGACGGAGCTTAATGTGTGCCAATCTTGTGTTTTAGAATATTGCAATTCTATGTACTAAGGAAAATTCTTAAGTCCTTTGGTGCTTTCATATGAGGGGTGACAAAATAATTTTTCTTTTGTCAACTTATTGATTAATAGCTAGGACAGAAAATAACAAATCATATATCCTTTCCATATCAAAACTTTTTTTTTTTTTAATTTGCATAAAACTTGTTTAATCAGAAGGACAAAAAAGGTGTTTTAAATAGGAACCCAAAAGAGAGTGACTGCGATTATCAAGCAATTACAGTCCGCTATCATTTGGATCCAAGAGGGGCAGATTATCTTGCTAAAGAAAAAATAAATAAATATTTTATGAAACTTTCTCGTTCAAGCACCCGCCCAATTGAAAATTAACTCATGTGACAACCGACTGGCAATGCTTGCAGCATGGAGATCGGGGAAACTATTGTGATCACAAACTTCATTTCTGATTCCATCTGTTGTCAATTAACCCTAGTTTTTGATCCTATTATTCCCCCATCATGCTTCGAGGGAGTGTGCTAGCAGGGGGGAAAAAAGGAGTTCAGCTCAAGATTGGCAATGGCTTAGCAGAAATGTTTAGAATAGTCAATTCTTAAAGGAGGCTAACTCAAGATTTTAGTGATCTGGGGAGGATGCTGTGCTTTTGCCTACCGGTGACATTCAAACCTTAAAATACTAAGCACTCGTTATAGAGACCTGGTAAGCGTAAATCACACTCTTTTCCCCCCCTTTCTATGTTGGTTGAAGCTCGGAGTATGCATGATGGTTTCGTCAACCCAAGGTTTAGACTTCAAAATTGGCAAAATTTGGCAGTAGGGCTTGAGTATGTATTATCTTATGCCAACATTTCTAAACTTGTACAACCAAAATCATTACAGGCATTTACAGAAACATGGCTAACAGCTCTGCTAAACATGTGAAAATGTTATGGCCAAATTTTCCATGAACAGGATTACCAATATACCACAAAATGTGACAAACCGGGGAAGCCGCTGCCGTGTTACTTCAAGCACGACGACAAAAAGAGCCCATGACAAAAAATTGTAAGCAGAACATAAAGGATGACCAACAGAAGCAGTAGTATCAATGTCGCCCTGCAAGACAACAGCAATTCCTACTTGAATTTAGTGGAACCGAAACGGAATTAATCCGCCCCTATACGTACTGTTAAGACTGGAATGTATTCGGCTTACTTACGTGAACTTACAATCTCTCCACCACAAAGCATTTTTGTAACGACGAGCTTGCCTTTTGAAACGAAGTGTATTCCCCTGCATTGCACTTGTCTTTTCAACGAGCAACGCCAAGCGGTCACCTCTCTCCAAAACTTTCTCGATGTTGTCAATCATTACGCTCCGTACCTATATGTACATAATTATGAAGATTAAGGAATCTTGACACCTTGAAACGTCAAGGATCAACAAAATTTGAAAGAAACAATCATGAATGGACACATTTTACAATTGGAAATTGTACCTGGCTCATTTCCCCTTTCAAACGGTTTAATCTGTCGGCATTCGGATCATTTGAGAAATGGTCCATCTGTTGACTGAGGACCCTGGAGAATTCATCATTCATTGCATAAGCTGAGGCTGAATGAATGGCACGACCATAGGTCTTAACAAATTTTTGATGGATATCTTCAAGGAAAGCAAAAGGGATTCTCCCTACATAATCATCAACGAGATTAATTTGTTACATTCACCTTTTTAAATTTGTCATACATTTAATTGAGACAATATTTACTAACATTATAGATTATCTCCTTTAAACCTATTAGGAATTGAAGATGAATAGTTATTTGAATGCCAATAAGAGATTAAGCAATGAAATTTCTATGTATATTTAGAAAGCACTTACTTCCGGAGGCATCATCGGCCATGCAAAGAACGGTGAGGCCATCGGTTCTCTTGACATGAAAAATATACCGATCATGCGAAAACGAAGAATTGCTATCGTTCTTTCCTTCTTTCATCTTCTCCAATATCTGCCTAGCGATCGTGCTCGCATTCGTCTGCGTCGCACTAAACTCCGCCAGCACCACCTGCCCCCTCGCCACCATCCCATAAAATATCCCCATTTCTCTGCAACACTCTGTTTCCCCTGTTTACGCCGAACGCCGATCGTTCTTTTTCCTTCTATTACAATTGAAGATGGGGGATCTGGGATTGGAGCTGGGTGGCCGGTTTATTTTGGCAGAGATTGGGGAAATTTAAGGGAAAAACATAACAAAAATGGAACCGAGGAGGAGATGAAAGTGGAAGAGAAGCAGTCCAGGTGGAGGTGGGATTTCAAAGACAGAGTGGACAAAGGAGGACTCCGAATTTTGAATTTGTTAATAGTTTTCGTCCGAGTTTGGCGGGAAAAAGACACGTGGACCAATCAAATGAGTTTGGTGGTGGGGACATCAGACGTGAATGCGGGGGAGTAAAAGTCAATGACGAAAAGAAAAGCGTACAGTCTGGCCTTGGTCCAACACCAACTGTAACACTGCTTCTAATCATTAATGGACTCCAATTAATCACTCCATTTTCTTTTACAAACAGTTACTTTTATGAACCAACAATTATTGGATAACATTTTTCTATTTCTTTTTAATTGATTTTTATTTCGGTAAGATAATATTACTGTCATATAAAGATCGAGAATCATATGGAAATAGGAAAAAAAAATTCAAGAAGGTGAATTTTGAGGAAGAAAATCTCACTGTCCTATTATAGATAAGTGGGCCCAAGAACTAACAGCAAAAACAATCAAAGAAACAGGCAACAGGAGCCACGGTGGTTATATTTTGTATGCGTGACAGCTGCTTTTCGTCACCTCCTTTTTCTTTTTGTGCTTGTCAATTTGACATCATCAAGAAATTGGATATGATAATCAATAATTTTAATAACGAGTATTTAAAAATACTTTTTAAGATTATTATATTAAATATTATTTTCTTCCATGCATTGAAACTCAAGAAATTAATAATTGCATACTACATTTAAATTAAATATAAAAATATTATCATAAATCATATTTTAATTAATCTTAAAGTATGCTTTTAAAACACTTATTAACACAAAATCTATAAATAAATAAAAAGAGGACCCAAGTTTTCATGCTTTTGATAGAATCCATGTTTGTCATGCATGCCAATCAATATATTTTGTAAAATAACATTGTAAAATACATTGATCTTGATTCGGTACATTGTAATAATGAGAGGATTTTTTTTATTTATGGGTTTACATATTTTCGTATGTTTATCACTTATAATTTAACGTCATTAGAGTAAATATATGTTGCATAAAAACTATAATGTGATATAGTTATAAAATCCCCACTACATCAAATCATCTTAAACATTTTCTAGCTAGTATTTTATCAAGCTTGACCATTGATATAAATCAAGATTAATTTATGTTATATATCTTATTTATGAAATAAACAATCAATTTTATAAATTGAAATGTTATGATACAAATGTTTGTTACAAAAACAAGTTCAATGAAAATAACTTACCATGAGAATTTCATTTAGTATATCATTTAAATATCTATGAAAGCATTCTCATATTCTAATCATATAAGTAATTCTTAAATTTGATATCATCTAGTTATCTTATGTGATAATTGTTATACTTTGATGTAACCTTAAGTAATCTTATCTAATTATGTGTTATGGGGTTTGCGTTGGGTATAATATAAATTATATAACGATAAATAAATGATACATTACCTCAAGGGAGATATCCTATTGAGAATTGAGAGATGAGATTATAGCAGCCAAGTAGTAAGGGGTAAAGCCTTGTGGACAACCTTCCAAAATTTTTAAAATCTTATATACATAATATATATTTTTTCTCTTAATCATTTTTTTAAAATTTTTAATTTTTATTTTTTTTATCTTTAACCTTTAAAAAAAATTGACTAACTCTGTTCCTACAAGCAAACTCCTATCCTTGGTTATTGGCAACTTTTAATGTGAAATCCTTGGGAACAATTTTGGTGGTGTATCCGTAGGAATGGGTGGCTTCTCTTTTTCATCCTCCTCTTTGGGTTTTCTGACTTTTACTGAGAGATGAGAAACCTAGTTAGTCCTCGTCTATCTAGCACTAGGTTAACAGTAAAAACCAAATTCCTAACCACCATTTGTGTTATTTTAGGTGAAGTCTATGTAGACCACCATTAAAGCTAGGCACTTGGACAATTTTAGATTTGCTACAACCTAAGCTTCGTGCGAAGGTTTCGGCATCCTATTGCATTGCCTCTTAATTTCGATACAAAAAATTTTAAGGTATAAAATTTTCTATCAAGTAGTTAGAATATACTTGTATTAAAGAACAATTGTTGAACTTGTTTTAAAATAAATAAATAAACTTTCACCGGATGTGTTTACTAATGTGCATTACATATGTAACCAGCCCTAAGATGCAAGAGTAATTCAACCCAAGGGGATCGAAGTTGATAGAGGGTAGATCCAAAATTGACTTACTTAAATCTCTTGAAATATGATTTGACTTACGCGAAGTCCCTCTGAGAAAGTAAAATTAAAGAAACCGTATTGATGTAGCTAACCCATCAACCATCCACCATCTAACTAGGATTGAGGTTTAGCTTCGTTGAAATGAGTGCAAAAGGCAAAAATAAAAAGTTTGTATGTACAATTGGAACGGGACAAAATAATACTTTTTTTTTTTGCAAAATCAAATAATTAAATTTACTTTTACACATTATTTAAAATAAAAAGAATAAGAAGAAAATCATTTTTAAAAAAATGTTAATTTTTCATAAAAAAACTATAAATCGCTTTATAAAATTAGAGACGAATCTAGAAATTAAAATGCTCAGTAGCCTTTGCCACGTTGGCCCATCCTTCAACTATTGGGCCTTCCCTTACTAACTTTTTCCAGTTTTCATTAAATTTTGGGCCCGGATGTTCAGCTCCTATAACTGATATCTTGGCCTAAAGGCATTTTTTAAGAATGTTCTATTGATGTAATAGAAAATGTAGTTGTAGTAAAGTAATAATAATTTTAGTTAAAATTCGCTAAGTTTTTGGATATTAATATGCCTAGGATTGTCCAAAATGTTAACGTAACAAAGCTTGTG